ACACATGGTCCCTGCCTCCCACGAAAAGCCACTCTTGATACTCATCCAGCAGCACTGTATGGAGATCAAGAAATCCAAAAGGGCTGTGAAATATTTATGTTCTGTTCAGTTTCAAGAGCTCTGAAATGCAAAGTGATATGTACACTAAACACATGAGAAAATGCAAATACCTTTATAACACTTTTCTCATAGCTCTATTTTCATCCCTATTTGAAGCAAGTCATTAACATTCATTTTATCATAAATATAATGGCAACAAGTTTTAATGTGCAGAAATCAAAACATTTTATAAATTTAAAAAATAGCTTTTTACATTATTCAACTTATGGAACTATTTGACTCTATATGACTGTATAACCTGAGAAAACTAAATACAAAATATTTTATATCATTCTATTTATGGTATTAGATAAAAAATTAAATAACTCATAATGACTAAACTGGCTAATTATTGTCCTTAAGTGGATATTAAAAGCGAATTTTTCTCCTTTGGTAAAGTAACTAGCAAATGATGAAATGTGAAAGTGTTTTCTGGTATATGGATTCACTGAATTCCTTTGACCCACTTAAACAGAATGTGTGACATTCATGAAATAGTAACTTAATAGCTTTAAAACAGCTGTTCTCTAGCTCCAAATTAACTTAGCTTTTTTTTTTTTTTTTTTGAGACGGAGTTTTGCTCTTGTTACCCAGGCTGGAGTGCAATGGCGCGATCTCGGCTCACCGCAACCTCCGCCTCCTGGGTTCAGGCAATTCTCCTGCCTCAGCCTCCTAAGTAGCTGGGATTACAGGCACGCGCCACCACGCCCAGCTAGTTTTTTTTTTTGTATTTTTAGTTGAGACGGGGTTTCACCATGTTGACCAGGATGGTCTCGATCTCTCGACCTCGTGATCCACCCGCCTCGGCCTCCCAAAGTGCTGGGATTACAGGCTTGAGCCACTGCGCCCGGCAGCTTTTCTTTTTTAACATGTCTACTTTCTGAGAAAAAAATGTGAGAAATGAGTTGTTCTTTTGCTTTCAGGCCCTGTCCTACCATGAGCTGAAGAGGCGGCAACATACATGTTTGGAGTTTAGCAGGGACTGAGAAGGGTGGAAAAGAACTGCCTAACCAAAGGTATCTTTTCCACCTGACTTCCAAGACGTCGGAACATTCTCCCTAGTAGATACTCTTTTGTATGTGGATATTAGCAATTGCTGTTAAAATGAAAACAGGTTAAACTTATTAGGTTATCATCACCTATGAATAATTTAGACTATCAGCTTATCAGATCTATCAACCAGTCTTGTAGCAAAATCCTGGTGTTAAACAGCACAGAAATAGGAGAGAAGAAAGAATTGTCTAAGTCTGCACTGTCCAACAGAAATATAAGCCATATGAGTTGAAATTTTCTAGTAATTAGCAAGTAAAAAGAAATAGGTGAACGTATTATTTTTCTTTTCCTTACTTTCTCCTCTTCCAAAGTGAAATTATTTTTAATAACATATTTTCTTTAACCCAAATAACATATTTTCTTTAACCTAAAAATTTTTCAAATTTTTATTTGTAAAATCAGTGTAAAATTATTAAAGAGATATTCTGTATTCTTTTTTGTACTAAATCTTGAAATCCACTGTATGTTTTATACTTATAGCACATCTTAATTTGAACTAGACACGTTTGAAGTTCTTTTTTTTTTTTTTTTTTTTTGAGACGGAGTTTCGCTCTTGTTAACCCAGGCTGGACTGCAATGGCACGATCTCGGCTCACCACAACCTCCGCCTCCCGGGTTCAGGCAATTCTCCTGCCTCAGCCTCCTGAGTAGCTGGGATTACAGGCACACGCCACCATGCCCAGCTAATTTTTTGTATTTTTAGTAGAGACGGGGTTTCACCATGTTGACCAGGATGGTCTCGATCTCTTGACCTCGTGATCCACCCGCCTCGGCCTCCCAAAGTGCTGGGATTACAGGCTTGAGCCACCGCGCCCGGCTGAAGTTCTTAATAGCTACATGTGGCTACCATATTGGACAAGCAGGTCTAAGTCAGGGGTTCCCAAAGTGTGGTTCCTAGAGCAGCAGTATCAGCATCACCCTAAAACTTGTTACAAATACCAGTTCTCAGGCTTCACCCCAGACCTACTAAATCAGAAACTCTGATAGTTGGGCTCTGCAATCTGTGGTTTAACAAGCCTTTCAGGTGATTGTCATAACATGTTAAGTTTCAGAATCAGCAGTCTAAATTATAGGGAACTGGTGGGAAAAGTTTTTTCTTTGCTAAGGATTACAATAAACAGGGTTCAAAATTCAAAAAGTACAAAAACGTATACAGTGAAAATCTTCCTTTCCTGGCAGGCACAAGCCCTCTATCTCCCCTCCCTAGAGGCAATCAAAATGTTATATTGGTAGGCAGCTGTCATACCGAACTCCTATTGACTTCAATAGGGATGGCACCATGTTTGAGAGGCTGAAGACAAGATGCAGAGCCAGTGAATGAGACATAGGGTTTATTCAATTAATTAATTTATTTTTTGAGACAGTTTTGCTCTGTCACCGAGCCTGGAGTGCAGTGGTGTAATCGTGGCTCACTGCAGTCTCAACCACCTGGACACAAGTGATCCTCCTGTCTCAGCCTTCTGAGTAGCTGGGATTAGTCCTGGCTAATTAAAAAAAGAAGGCATTAGTCCTAGCTAATTAAAAATATATGGAGAGGCCGGGCGCGGTGGCTCAAGCCTGTAATCCCAGCACTTTGGGAGGCCGAGGCGGGTGGATCACGAGGTCGAGAGATCGAGACCATCCTGGTCAACATGGTGAAACCCCGTCTCTACTAAAAATACAAAAAATTAGCTGGGCATGGTGGCACGTGCCTGTAATCCCAGCTACTCAGGAGGCTGAGGCAGGAGAATTGCCTGAACCCAGGAGGTGGAGGTTGTGGTGAGCCGAGATTGCGCCATTGCACTCCAGCCTGGGTAACGAGCAAAAACTCCGTCTCAAAAAAAAAAAAATATATATATATATATATATATATATATATATATATATATATATATATGGAGAGAGATGGGGCCTCACTTTGTTACCCAGGCTGAGAAATAGGGTTTATTGAGGAGACTTACATACAGGACAATCAAGTGGTGCCAGGCTGGACAGGAGCTGTGTTTGCTTATAAAAACCATACTGGTTATATAGCATTTTTACTTAGCACTCTCACCCTAGCAACCTCCACCTGACAACCTTCATTTAACCCAAAACAAAGGACCACGGTCCCCTGTATGGCCTGCATTCCAAGGGATGAGATGGGGGTTCATGTTTCTTATAGGTGAGGAATGAATCTCCTGATTGGCAACTCCCAGGTTCCTTTTTTTTTTTTTTTTTAAGAAACATGTTTATTTTCTGTCAGCCTTATTTCCATGTGGCTTATCAGCCTGTGGAAGAACAGCTTAAGACCACTCGGTGGTTATTCCTACCCATTCAGTGGCCTGAGCAGTGGGAGCTGCAGACCAGGCTTCTGTGTCAGGCTGAGCTCTACAGCCTTCAGTAGGGAACTGCTGGATAGGAGTTCCCTATTTCAAGATGGAGTCTCACCCTCTTTGCCAGAACATTGGGAGGCCGAGGCAAGTGGATCATTTGAGGTCAGGAGTTTGAGACCAGCCTGGCCAACATGGTGAAACCCTGTCTCTACTAAAAATACAAAAATTAGCCCAACATGGTGAGTGCCTATAATCCCAGCTACTCAGGAGGCTGGGGCAGGAGAATTGCTTGAACCTGGGAGGCAGAGGTTGGAGTGAGCTGAGATCACGCTACTGCACTCCAGCCTGGGCAATAGAGGGAGATTCCATCTCAAAAAAAAAAAAAAAAAAAAAAAAAATCAGATGGGAACTGACATACAATTCTGTTAATATGGACAAAACTAGTATGCCTGAATTGTAGCTTAAGCTTAGGTCTGAGACTAAAATAAAGCAACTTACTTCCAGCATGAATCCAGACCTTATGACCCACAGAATCATGCATTCTTGCAGATAAATCAGTAAAAGCGAAACATACTTCCCTTCTTAACTGCAATTTCCCTTCGGGCATTTGAAGTCCCAAATTTGATTTTCCCCAATTTTTGTTTGGACTGATGAGTTTGGTTTCCAAGAACAGTAGCTAAATCTCACTTTAGAAATATACCCTGTTTCTCAGACATGGTTTGAAAAAAAATTGGGGACTGAAAGGGCTCACGTCTACTTCACTGTTTGTGTGTGTATGTGATTGTTTTTGTTTGTTTGTTTGAGAGGGAGTCTCACTCTGTCGCCCAGGCTGGAGTGCAGTGATGCAATCTTGGTTCACTGCAACCTTCGCCTCCCAGGTTCAAGCGATTCTTGTGCCTCAGTCTTCCAAGTAGCTGGGGTTACAGATGTGTGCCACCATGCCCAGCTAATTTTTATATTTTTAGTAAAGATGGGGTTTCACCACGTTGGCCAGGCTGATCTTGAACTCCCTATCTCGGGTGATCCTCCCACCTCAGCCTCCCAAAGTGCTGGGATTATTGGCATGAGCCACTGCATCCGGCCTCTACTTCACTGTTGATCTGCTGGTCCACTTGGTAGGTAAGGAAGTCAGGCCAGACCCGTGTTGCCAATAGTTATGTATATTAAACCATATTCCTTGAAGTATGTAGCTACAAAGATGGCATATTGGCTTCCTGTTACATAGTTATTGATGCAAAGGTATTGATGCAAGGGTATACTTTGTTTTAAAGTATAAATAAACCATTTTACTTCCTGATTGAAAACCTCTAATGATTCATCATTACCCAAATCATAAAGTGTATTTCATAATATGGCGTTTATAGCCCTTTACAATCTAATCCAAACCTACTCCTCAGCTTCTTTCCTTATTCTCACCCTACCTCTGATCTCACTCCCCTGTTTCTTGAAATTTGGGTCATTGTCTGTTTGTTTGTTTTTAAATAGAGATGGTGTCCCAATGTGTTGCCATGGCTGACCTTGAACTCCTGAACTCCAGTGATCTTCCCGCCTTGGCCTCTCAAAGTGGTGGGATTTGAAGCATGAGCCACCATGCCCAGCCTACTTCTTGAAATTTGGTCTCCAACCATGACAAAAAACTGGCCATTGCCTAATCAGGTAAGACATGATGAATCACACTCCCCAGGCTCTTGAAATATCTTATCAATATTGAGAATACCTGTTTACCCTGATTACTCAGACCATATCCTGCTTGGGCTGTCAGGCAACTCAAAGTTAAATTTTTATTTTTTATTATTATAAGAGACATGGTTGGTGTGGTGGCTCATGCCTGTAATCCCAGCACTTTGGGAAAACAAGGCGGGCAGATTGCTTGAGTCTAGTAGTTCAAGACCAGCCTGGGCAACTTGGTGAAACCCCAACTCTATTAAAAATACAAAAAATTAGCTGGGCGTGATGGCACATGCCTGTAGTTCATTCCAGCTACCCAGGAGGCTGAGGTGGGAGGATCACCTGAGCCTGGGAAGTCAAGGCTGCAGTGAACTATGATTATGCCACTGCACTCCAGCCTGGGTGACAGAGTGAGACCCTGGCTGACAAAACAAAAAACAAAAAACAAACAAACAACAACAAAAAAAAAAACAAGAAAGACAGGATCTTGCTATATTACCCAGGTTTGAATGCAGTGGCTATTCCCAGGCACTATCATGGTGTACTACAGCCTCAAACTCCTGGGCTCTAGTGATCCTCTCAGTGACCAGAGTAGCTGGGACTATGGGCACATGCCACTGCACCTGGATTTCACAGTTAAATTTAGTGCCTACTCACTAACTCTTACTGCTAACTATTTTTTTTTTTTTTTTGAGACGGAGTTTTGCTCTTGTTACCCAGGCTGGAGTGCAATGGCGCGATCTCGGCTCACTGCAACCTCTGCCTCCTGGGTTCAGGCAATTCTCCTACCTCAGCCTCCTGAGTAGCTGGGATTACAGGCACGCGCCACCATGCCCAGCTAATTTTTTGTATTTTAGTAGAGACGGAGTTTCACCATGTTGACCTGGATGGTCTCGATCTCTTGACCTCGTGATCCACCCGCCTCAGCCTCCCAATGTGCTGGGATTACAGGCTTGAGCCACCGCGCCCGGCTTTTTTTTTTTTTTTTTTTTTTTTTTTTTGAGATGGAGTTTCACTCTTGTTTCCCAGGCTGGAGTGCAATGGCGCGATCTCGGCTCACTGCAACCTCCGCCTCCTGGGTTGAGGCAATTCTCCTGCCTCAGCCTCCTGAGTAGCTGGGATTACAGGCACGCGCCACCATGCCCAGCTAATTTTTGTATTTTTAGTAGAAACGGGGTTTCACCATGTTGACCAGGATGGTCTCGATCTCTTGACCTCGTGATCCACCCGCCTCGGCCTCCCAAAGTGCTGGGATTACAGGCTTGAGCCACCATGCCTGGCCTACTGCTAACTCTTATTAGCCTAATTATCTTTTCCATTTATTTAGACCATATTTTTGTCATTATATTTAAGACTTTATTTTTTTAATGATAAAATCAGTGAGATATAGAAAAGAGGAAAAATATTTAAAGTGCTATTTTTAAATATTATTTATATCTTAGTTATTTAGTTATTTTTGAGACAATCTCGCTCAGTTGCCCAAGCTGAAGTGCAGTAGCATAATCTGGGCTCACTGCAACCTCTGCCTCCCAAGTTCAAGCAATTCTCCTGCCTTAGCATCCCAAGTAGCTGGGACTACAGGTGCATGCCACCACACCTGGCTAATTATTGTATTTTCAGTTGAGACGAGATTTCACCACGTAGGCCAGTCTGGTCTCAAACTCCTGACCTCAAGTGATCTGTTCACCTTGTCCACCCAAAGTGTTGGGATTACAGGCGTGAGCCACCACACTCAGCCTATTATTTTTTAAAGAAATACATGCTGTTGTTAAAAAAGAAAAAGTACTCAAGTGTATGAACTATATAGTCACACACTGTTCCCTAACTCCACTGCCCAGAAGTACCTAGTTAAGCTTAACATATATGCTCCCAGATTTTTCATATAAACAGCTGATAATCTCATATATTGCTGGTGGGAATATAAATTGGCACACTATTTTGGAAAACTGCTTGGCACCATCTACTAAAACTAATTATACACATAGACAAAATGGTCTCATTTTTAAGCATACATCCAGCAGAAATGTAGACATCTGTGAACTAAAAAAATATATGAATGTTCACATAAGCACGATTTCATAGTAGCCCCAAACTGGACACAACCCAGTTATAGAATAAATACATTGCAGTATATTCAACTTGAATATCTCTCATAAACAATAATGACCAGAGAAGCCAGACAAAAAGAAATATGCTGTATGATTACATTTCTATAAAGTTCAAACAGGCAAAACTAATCCATAATGGTAGAAATCAGGAGGTAGTTACCTTTGGGGAGATCTCTGTGACTAGGAGGATGCATGAGAAGGCATTTGGGCTATTAATGGGTGTGATTGCTTTGTGATAATTTATTAAGCTGAACATGGATGCAGTGAAAAGATATTGATCTCATTATTTTTAATGGTTCCAGGGTCTTCCATTGGATAGTTGCTTACTAATTTAACCATCTCTCTACTGATTGCACATTTACATTAGTTTTTTAGGTTGTTATTCCTATAATAATGCTGTTGTGAACAACCTTATATAACTTCTTCCATTTTTATGAATATATCTGTAAAATATATTTCTAAATAGAGGAACTGATGCTTCAAAAGAAATATATGCTGTAAATGTTGATAGATATTGTCATAAAACCCTGAAAAAAAAAACTATAACAATTTGCATTTTCACACAGTACATAGTTGCCTAATTTCCATAATCTGAAAATTCACTGGGTAGCATTGGTCTTTTACACTGCTGCTTTTAGTAGGTGAAAGGATTTTCTCACAACTGTATTCATTCTCTTTCTTTCTGTTTGTCTTTCTTGCTTGCTTGCTTTTCTTTCTCAGAATCTCACTCTGTCACCCAGGCTGGAGTGCAGTGGCGTGATCTCAGCTCACTGCAACCTCTGCCTCCTGGGTTCAAGCAATTCTCCTGCCCCAGCCTCCCGAGTAGTTGGGACTACAGGCACCTGCCAGCACGCTCAGCTAATTTTTGTATTTTTAATAGAGATGGGGTGTCACCATGTTGGCTAGGCTGGTCTCAAACTCCTGACCTTGTGATCTGCCTGCCTCGGCTTCCCAAAGTGCTGAGATTACAGGCGTGAGCCACTGCGTCTGGCCAGTTTCTTTCTTTTCTTTTTTCTTTTATTTTTCTCTCTCTTCTTTCTTTCTTTCCCTCCCTTCCTCCCTCCTTTCCTCCTTCCTTTCTCTCTCTTTCTCTTTTTCTTTCTTTCTTTGACAAGTTCTTGCTCTGCTGCCCAGGAGTGCAGTGGCACAATCGTAGCTCATTGTAACCTCCAACTCCTGGGCCAAAGTGATCTTCCTGCCTCAGCCTCCTGAATAGCCAGAACTACAGGCACTCGACACTGTGCCTGGCTTCTCATTCATGTATATTTTTTTGAGATGGAGTTTCACTCTTGTCGCCCAGGCTGCAGTGCAATGGCACGATCTCGGCTCACCGCAACCTCCGCCTCCCAGGTTCAAGAGATTCTCCTGCCTCAGCCTCCCAAGTAGCTGGGATTACAGTCATGCACCACCACGCCCAGCTAATTTTTTGTATTTTTAGTAGAGATGGGGTTTCTCCATTTTGGTTAGGCTGGTCGAGAACTCCCAACCTCAGGTGATCCACCCACTTTGGCCTCCCAAAGTGCTGGATTACAGGCGTGAGCCACTGTGCCCGGCCCTCATCCATATTTTTAAATTATTTTTGGTGAATTGAAAATTTTTAAAGTTATTAGCTGTTTGTTATTTGCTATTTGCTACAGGCTATTTGTAATCGCTTGATCTTATTTATGTTTTTCTCCTTTGTTCCCCTCTAGGGAGTTGTTTGCTTCTAATCTATATTAAGAATACTAATCCTGGCCAAGCACAATGACTCATGCCTGTCATCCCACCACTTTGGGAGGCCGAGGCAGATCGCTTGAGATCAGGAGACCAGCCTGGGCAACACAGTGAGACCTGTCTCTCCAAAAATTTTAAAAATTAGCCACGCATGGTGGCTCATGCCTGTAGTCCCGGCTATTCAGGAAGATGAGGTGGAAGGATCACTGGAGCCCAGGAGGTCAAGGCTACAGTGAAAACTCCAGCCTGGGTGACAGTGAGACCCTGTCTCAAAAAAAAAAAAAAGAGAGAGAGAGAGAGAGAATACCAGTCCTTTATCAAGTGGTACATTTAAAATATGTTTTTCAGGTGTCATTTGGAATTTGTCTTCATTAATAGTAACATTTGCCTTAAGAAAAAGTAGTTTAAATTTTTATGTGTTCTGTTTTATGTTTTCAGTGTTTTCTAGTATCTTGTCAAAACTCGAAGGCCAGTAAGCAAGTTTTTCAGAATTTGTCTCCTGCTGACATTTTGTGTCAGTTTTTTCCTGGAACACAGTGTACCCTTTGGATGTTCCAAGGGAGGAGATCAAGGTAATATCAGATAATTCCTGCCCACACATCCCAGCTGGCCTCCCAGACACTGTTCTCAGGCAAATAAGACAAGCAGTCTAGCTCCTCAAGGTTTTTATGAACGGCTCTTTGATACTGGCCTCTGAAGCCTTTGAAATGGGTCAAGGCAGAACATTTACCTTTTATCCAATAGTTGCTTATACACTACAAGAGAAATCACAGCTTATTCACTACTCAGTTACATTTTCAAGTTGAGTTTATTAGTGGTTATCATCCCAATGATCCTGTGCCAGTTATTTTTCAGTCACAGCATTCGAAGTGTAACAGTATGTTTCGTCTCTTACAGTTTAAGAGAAAATTATGTTCACAAAATGAACCACCCACCCCTCCTTTACTCCCAAAGAAACATTAGAGTCTCCAGATTTCCCCTTTCCCAATTCTCCTTTTGCAGGGCTCTAGCTGGAAGGGTCTTACTGATGTGCCAGCTCAGTGTCAGGGCTCGCCTTAATTTTCCACTAGAGTCATTGTGGTTTCTCCAGCTCCTCCCAGGATGTTCCAACCCAATTCTGTACTTTTCCTCACTTCTAAAAGGACCCATTAAAAAAAAAAAGTTAAGACTCATGCCTGTAACCCCAGCACTTTAGGATGCCAAAGCAGGCAGATCACATGAGACAGATCACATGAGAACCCTTTCTCTACTGAAAATACAAAAATTAGCCAGGCATGGTGGTGCATGTCTGTAACCCCAGCTACTTGGGAGGCTGAGGCACAAGAATCGCTTGAACCTGGGAGGTAGAGGTTGCAGTGAGCTGAGATTGAGCCACTGCACTTCATGTGCCACTGTGCCTGGTAATTGTTTTATTTTATTTTTTAGAAGTAGGTCTGGATATGTGGCATAGGCTCATCTTGAATTCCTGGCCTCAAGCAGTCTTCCCCATTCAGCCTCTTGAGTCTCTGGAATTAACGAACATGAGCCACAATGTCTGGCTAAAATGGGTACATTTTATCATATACAAATTACATCTTAATGAAGCTGATTTTTGCGGGGATTGGGAATGGAGTCTCCCTCTGTCATTGGAGTGTAGTAGTGCGATCTCGGCTCATTGCAACCTCTGCCTCCCGGGTTCAAGCAATTCTCCTGCCTCACCCTCCAAAATAGCTGGGATTACAGGTGCTTGCCACCACTCCTGGCTAATTTTTGTATTTTTAGTAGAGATGAGGTTTCTCCATGTTGGCCAGGGTGGTCTCAAACTCCTGACCACAGGTGATCTGCCCGCCTTGGCCTCCCAAAGTGCTAGGATTACAGGGGTGAGCCATCGCATCCGGCCAATGAAGCTGATTTTTAAAAAATGCTAGAACCGCCGGGCGCGGTGGCTCAAGCCTGTAATCCCAGCACTTTGGGAGGCTGAGGCGGGTGGATCACGAGGTCAAGAGATCGAGACCATCCTGGTCAACATAGTGAAACCCCGTCTCTACTAAAAATACAAAAAATTAGCTAGGCATGGTGGCGCGTGCCTGTAATGCCAGCTACTCAGGAAGCTGAGGCAGGAGAATTGCCTGAACCCAGGAGGCGGAGGTTGCGGTGAGCCGAGATCTCGCCATTGCACTCCAGCCTGGGTAACAAGAGCGAAACTCCATCTCAAAAAAAAAAAAAAAAAAAAAAAAAAAAAAAAAAAAATGCTAGAACCAAACTACCTATACTTTTTCTTTATTTTCAGGCACCGTTAAGGTTGAACTGTGTCCCCCAAAAGAGATGTTGAAATTCTATACCAAGTATCTCATAATGTGACCTGATTTAGAAACAGGGTGCTTGCAGGTACAATCAAGTCAAGATGAGGCAATACTGGATTAAGATGAGCCCTAATCCAGAGACTGTTGTCATAAGGAGAGAAAATTTGGACACAGAGACACAGACACATGGGAAGAACACTATGTAGTAAAGGAGGCAGAGACTGGAGTCAGGCGTCCATAAAACAAAAAAATGCCAAGGATTGCCAACAACTACCAGAAACTAGGAAGAATCAAGGAAGGATTTTCCTGCTCTCCCAGCTCTCCATCAAATGAGGGTACAGTGAGACAACTGCTGTCTGCAAACCAGGAAGAGTGCCCTCCCCAGACACCAAATCTGCTGACACCTTCATCCTGGACCTCTCAGCCTCCAAAACTGTGGGAAATAAATGTTGTTTAAATCAAAAAGAAAAAACATAAGTTTCTTCCCCTAGAACTTTCAGAGAGAGCATGACACCTCAATTTTGGACTTCTAACCTCCAGAACTGTGAAAGAACAAATGTCTGATGTTTAAAGACACCCAGGACCAGGCCTGGTGGCTCATGCCTGAAATCTGAGCACTTTTGAGGCTAAGATGGGGGAAATTGCTTGAGGCTTGGAGTTTAAGACCAGCCTGGGCAACATAGAGAGACCCTGTCTCCATTTAAAAAAAAAATTTAAAAATTAGAGGCCAAGGTGGGTGGATCACTTGAGGTCAGGAGTTCAAGACCAGCTGGCCAACATGGCAAAACCCCATCTCTACCAAAAAAATACAAAAATTAGTTGGGTGAAGTGATACGCACCTGTAGTCTCAGCTACTCAGATAGCTGAGGCAGGAGAATCAGTTGAACCCAGGAGGTGGAGGTTTCAGTAAGCGAAGATCCCACCAGCCTGGGTGAAAGAGCTAGACTGTCTAAAAAGAAAAAATAAAAAATAATAATAATTTAAAAATTAGCTTGGCATGGTGGTATGTGCCTGTAGTCCCAGCTTCTCAGGAGGCTGAGGTGGGTAGATTGCTTGAGCCCAGGAGGTGGAGGCTGCAGTGAGCTGTGATTATGCCAGTGCACTTAAGTCTGGGTGACACAGTGAGACTCTTTCTCAGAAAAACAAAAAACAGAAAGCATAAAGACACTTAGAAGGAAGGAGAGAAGCAGAGACACCCAGTTTGTGATAATTTGCTACAGAGTCTAGGAATCTAATACAGACACTTAGAATTTATGCTCTTGCCCTATGGAGATGTTTTATAGTCAGATATGAAGTCAATGAGCTTGAGATCTGAAGAACTTCCTCTTTACCTTGCACCTCCTTGGCGGAGTTCTCACAGAACTGGCCTTCTGGGCCGCCTGCATCCAGCCTGCCCCCCCACAGATGCTGTCTGGCTCCTGTTGAGGGTCTCTAATGTCTCAGATGCCCAGCTTCACAAACCCTCCTATACAGGCTGCTCGTAGCATGTGTTTTTCTTTGCCTATGGAATGGGCTATAGTATTTCAAATATTAATGTGCATTTTCCTTACTTTCTAGATGATCACATTTGTTGTCGTTGTTGTTGTTGTTGTTGTTGTTGTTTCTTCCAGAAGAGATTTTCCCACAACCTAAAATTAGTTCTGAATCTACCCTTGCTTTGAGAAAACAAGGGTGGAGGGTGGGGACATCACTGTGGAATGTCAGAAATGAAAGTCAGTACATTTTGGTTTCTAAGTTCAAAAGCTGTTTATGTCTCATAAAGCAAAAAATACCACATAGGTAGAGACTGAGAATGTCACAACCTTTCCTCACTCCCACAACCACCCTGGTAACATTTTTACCTCCTTCCCAGGAATATGAACTCCAAAAGGAAGAAAGATCAAGTAGAAAGAAATGTAACTGAGCCATTTTAAACATGAATTGAGATATAATTGAATTTGATGAAGTTTGTCTTAGATTAACAAGATTGTTTTCTGCCTCAGGCAGGATGGGGACTCAAGGTCATAAATTAAGATGGACTTGTAGAAAAGTTCTACTTGGCTGGGCATGGTGACTCATGCCTGAAATCCTAGCACTTTCGGAGGCCAAGAAAGGAGGCTCATTTGAGGCCAGAAGTTCAAGACCAACCTGGGCAATATAGTGAGACCTCTATCTCCACCAAAAAACACAAAAATTAGCCAGACATGGTGGCATATACTTGTGGTCCTAGATGCTCAGGAGGATGAGATGGGAGGATCACTTGAACCCAGGAGGCTAAGGATGCAGCGAACTTTGATCTTTTCACTGTACTCCAACCTGGGTGACAGAAAGAGACCCTCATTAGGCCGGGCGCGGTGGGTCAAGCCTGTAATCCCAGCACTTTGGGAGGCCGAGGCGGGTGGATCACGAGGTCAAGAGATCGAGACCATCCTGGACAACATGGTGAAACCCCATCTCTATTAAAAATACAAAAAAGTTGCTGGGCGTGGTGGCACGCGCCTGTAATCCAAGCTACTCAGGAGGCTGAGGCAGGAGAATTGCCTGAACCCAGGAGGCGGAGGTTGCGGTGAGCCAAGATCGCGCTATTGCACTCCAGCCTGGGTAACAAGAGTGAGACTCCGTCTCAAAAAAAAAAAAAAAAGAGACCCTCATTTCAAAAAACCAAATTAATTAACTAAATTAATATAACTTTTCTTTTTTTCTTTTTTTTCTTTTTTTTTTTTTTTTTTTTGAGACGGAGTTTCGCTCTTGTTACCCAGGCTGGAGTGCAATGGCACGATCTCGGCTCACCGCAACCTCCGCCTCCTGGGTTCAAGCAATTCTCCTGCCTCAGCCTCCTGAGTAGCTGGGATTACAGGCACGTGCCACCATGCCCAGCTAATTTTTGTATTTTTAGTAGAGACGGGGTTTCACCATGTTGACCAGGATGGTCTCGATCTCTCGACCTCGTGATCCACCCGCCTCGGCCTCCCAAAGTGCTGGGATTACAGGCTTGAGCCACCACGCCCGGCAACTTTTCTTTTTTTCTTTTTGAGACGGGTCTTGCTGTGTTGCCCAGACTGGAATGCAGTGGCACCATCTCAGCTCACTGTGACCTTGACCTCCTGGGCTCAAGTGATCCTCCCACCTCAGCCTCCCAAACAGCTGGGACCACAGGTACATGCCACCACACCCAGATAATTTTTTAATTTTTTTTGTAGAGATGGGGGTCTCACTACATTGCCCAAGCTGGCCTTGAACTCCTGGGCTCAAGTAATCCTCTCTTGGCCTCCCAAAGTGCTGGGATTACAGGTGTAAGCCATTGTGTCCAATTAAAAAGTTCTATTTTCTATACACCTGCATTTGGAGGACTCTGTGGGTGAGCATCTATCTGTCTCCTTAAGTTGTACACAACGGGTTCCTCGTTTGCCTCTCCCTAGCCCCAGCTCTGCTCTTCATTTGCTGCTTTCAGAGGGTATCTTTCAACATTTTCCTAAGCTTGGGCCTTCTCTGAGAGAGATCCAGCAGTTTCTAAGATCACTAACTGCTAGTTTACAAAATCCCTTGAGGTCCCAGATATCCTCCCTATTTCTTGAGAATATTTTTGGCTGGGCGCAGTAGCTCATGCCTGTAATTCCAGCACTTCGGAAGGCTGAGGTGGGTGGATCACCTGAGGTCAGGAATTCCAGACCAGCCTGACCAACATGGTGAAACCCCATCTCTACTAAAAATACAAAAATCAGTTGGTATGGTGGCATATGCCTGTAATCCCATCTACTCTGGAGGCTGAGGCAGGAGAGTAGCTTGACTCTGGAAGGCAGAGGTTGCAATGAGCCAAGATTGTACCACTGTACTAGAGTTGGCGACAGAGCAAGACTCCATCTCAAAAAAAGAAAAAAGAATATTTTTCAGGACTGTTACAGCTGAGTAAAGGTTTTTTTCATGTGTCCTTGAGACTTATAAGGACAGCCTTTCTTTCCGAAAGTGCTTATTCTCCCTTGCATCCTGAAAACCCCTATTCTACTCCCTGCCAAATTTGTATTAAAAGTTGCACATGAGCCCAGATGACAGCTGATTCTCTATAGCTAACAGAGGGCTGGCAAAAGAAATCTTATATCCTGGCGATATACTACCTTTCCTGTCTAGTAGTGAGAGTCCTTAAAGGGTCTAGTTTCTTCAAAAAGGATGCACTCTCTCTGAAACTAGACAACAACCTTATAACTTTGAATCATTCCCTAGCTAGACAAGAGCTTATCTTGCAAAATAATTTTATATGTTCTACTTTGAAAATGCCCCCTAGTGGACAGAACTAGTAAGGTTTTCATGATAACAACCAGTCACCAGAGTGAGCCCAGGGGTTTAACAAACCCTGCAGCTGGGTCCACTTCCAGCACACAAACCATCCAAGTGGCCCTGTGATGACTTTTCTCCTGTCTTTTCTGCTTCCATCAAAATTAATTATGACATAATAATTAAGAAAATATTGGAGGCCGGGCAAAGTGGCTCACACCTGTAATCCCAGCACTTTGGGAGGCCGAGGCAGATGGATCATTTGAGGTCAGGAGATCAAGACCAGTTTGGCCAACATGGTGAAACCCCATCTCTACTAAAAATACAAAAATAAGCTGAGCATGGTGGTTCATGCCTGTAATTTTAGTTACTCAGGAGGCTGGGGCAGGAAAATCACTTGAACCAGGGAGGAGGAGGTTGCAATGAGCCGAGATCATGCCACTGTACTCCAGCCCCAGCAACAAAGCGAGACTGTTTCAAAAAAAAAGCAAACGAATTACTATCAAGAAGAAAATATTGGTTGTTCCATTTCATGTTGTTAGACATCCAAGTTGCTAGCTATTGTAATGGCAAAATATTTGGGAAAGTATATGGAACAATGGTTCATGTGCTGGGCAATGATGAGAAGTTAGTAATTCGTATGTCCACTCACCAACATCATATAATAGTTTATACCTAGCAGGAAAATCACTAAAGTAAAATCTCAAGCATCATATGAGAATTTAATAGGTACTAGGCCAGGTACAGTGGCTGACACCTATCATCCCAGGACTTTGGGAGGCCAAGGCGGGTGGATCACAAGGTCAGGAGTTCAAGATCAGCCTGGCAAAGATGGTGAAACCCCTATCTCTACTAAGAATACAAAAATTAGCCAGGCATGGTGGGAGGCACCTGTAATCCCAGCTACTCGGGAGGCTGAAGCAGGAGAATTGCTTGAACCTGGGCGGCAGAGGTTGCAGTGAACCGAGATTGCACCACTGCACTCCAGCCTGGGCAATAGAGTGAGACTAAGTCTAAAAAAGAGAGAGAGAATTTAATGGGTACTTTATTGTTTAAAAAAAACCATATAAATCATGACAGTTTCTTGCCATCCCTAAGAGTAGCAATTTAAAACTCTGGAAATCTTCAAACAAAGATAGGAAGCATTC